TGATCAAAACAAAGCATAATAATTATTTATATGATATAAGCAAAAGTAGCATTATATTACATATATATTATTTATAAATTCAAATCATAGCAAGAGATATCAATAATAAAATAAAACTTAGCTAATTAATATTACATGTGTAATTGTGTATATCATCATTACTCTCCAATGACCAAAATAACAAATGAGATAAGTATACTTTTGCTTTTTTTTTTGTATAAAATGATTAACATTATCATATATTAACTTTCTTAGATACAAGAATTATCATTACATGTATGTTGACAAAATTTTTTTTATTTTTTTTTGCTACATAATGATTAAGTTATATTATTTCTTAATTTTATAGATTTTATAAATATAACTATTTTGCATTTGAAAGGTAAAGATGTTTTTAAAAATTTTTTGAAATAGATAACAATGATACTAATAATAACTTACCACCTTTTGACAATAATTTACCTACTGATAACACTTTTAACTTACTACCTTCTGATAATAATTTACCTATTGCTAACCCTTCCAACCTATCTTCTTCTGATATTCCTACCAATACAACCTGTTTACAATCATCATCTTTTTCTGCTATTTTTACCAACACCTGTTCACAATTATCTGCTATTTCTACTAATAAAACTCAATATAAATCAGTAACTGGATCTTATAAACAATCTCAAAAATATAACAGTGATTCTTCAAATTCATCTAAAAGTATTAGAAGTATACAGGAAATATTTGAGCAAATGAAAAGTAAACAAACTACATCATGACAAGCCGCCTAATCAAGACAAGCCACCCAATCAAGACAAGCCACCCAATCAAAGCAGCCATCGCATTTACAACAACCATCACCTTCTCATTCTTCTTGACATAGATCACATTTTATCAATCGAGATAGATCATTATTGCTACAGAAATCTCAAAGAAGATCTTGATCATGAGATCATTGTAATAGTATATAAGATCTTTTTTTTTGATCTCTTTAGATAACGATCTTATAATCTTATCCTTTTTTTTTAAAAAAAAAATTTTTTTTTTTTTTTTTTAATATACTGGATTCGAAGAACATGTAAGCAATTACCACTGGCAAGTTTAAGAGAGACTCTTCACTCAAAATCAGCAGCTGTACCTTTTAATGAAAAGGTTAAGTAAAGACATATGAGAAATTAAAAGTGAATTAAAAAAGCAGTGAGTTGACATAGAAAATGAACTCTTACAGAAAGTTCTGGACATAAGTACTTGATACTTATAAAGATTGTAATGAAAACTTTCTAAATTTTTATTTTTTATAGGACACATATACTGGTGTTGCAAAATGCCTTTTCCCAAATAATGTTTACCCTACCTAGGCTGTAATCAAGGAGACTTTTAAGTCTTATATAAATGAAATGTTTCCAGATTTTATGTCTAATATAAGCCTAAACAAATTTACTAACTGTTTTCACGGTAAATGATTAACTTAGATAATTTTTTTTTTTTAATTATGCATTACTTATAGTTGTTAGTAATTATTTATATTTTTTTAACACATTTATTAACTATAATCTATATTATTAGGTAATGTATCTTTTAATTAGAGTATATAATATTTGTGATATTGAATAATTGGTTACTATTATTTTATAGCTTTTTCAAAATTCAAAAATAATCATAGTGCAGTTCTTCAAAGCATTAAGTCTGCAGTTTGGTGCATATTTGGATGTGAAAGATTGCCTTCCCTAAAAAGTAATGTGGCTGCGGCTGATATTGTTTGGTAGAAAGAAAGCCCACAAGTAAATGATTGTTATCACACACTTTTTGAACAAAACAATGAAAGCATTTATTGGATATCAGTAATTGCATAAACTGTATTTTCTACTGTAACAGTTCTCATTTTGACAAATAAGCATAGCATGTTTACTCTTTCAGTATGTAACATCCTATTAAACCCCTAGTCATGAAACATTTTATGCATAGAGAAGCATATGAAATGTTGAATTAAACAATTTTTGGTAAGTTATTGAAATTTATTTTAGTTTTAACATCATATAATATTAACACTAACATATTATATTAGATTGATATCAAAAGTGATAATTTATTGCATAAAAATGCTGAAGTCTTCAAAGTGAAGATGAAGGTGAAGCTTATGATAATAAACAATACAATAAAAGTTTTCTTCAATATAATCCTGATCTTGAATCTCTTCCCTAGAATATTTCTTTATTGAGTCTTCCTGAAGATGAGTTAGATAAATTGTATGGCATCGCTTAATTGTGATTTATAATTTAATGTTTTTTTTTTATATATTTTTTTTATGTATTTTTTTTTATGTATCATTTTTTTTTTAATATATTGTATATTATGTATTGCTTATTGCATATATTATCTATTGCTTATTGCTATAATATTCAATAAATAAATTTATATATATAAATTAATAATTATTTTAAAATTTGTTAAAAGTATTATTATAGTTATTGGTATGAAGTTAATAGTACTGAATATATTTGATATATATCGATATTATATTAAATCATTTTTTATCGATTTTCTATTGTAATAAATATATATCAATATATATCTTAATTGATATAACCTAACAGGGGGAATTACTATTGATATATATCTGTTATAGTTAATAATCAATATATATCAGTCTATTTTTTTTGCCAATAGTTTGTTTATTAGTCTAAAAGTATACTGTAGTAGATATTTTCAACTTTATTCTCATAAATTAGAAAAGGCTCTTCTATAATCTGCTTGTAAATTTTGGGTCTCTATTCAAAATTATGTATCTTAATAGTTCATAGTGCCTAAATATTTCATTAAAAAATATTTGTACTATTTCTATTGCTATTGCAGTTCCTCTAGTAGGTAAGAAATGTATCTTTTTATTCAGTCTATTTACAACTAATATTATTGAATCATTTTTATGTTTTGTATGTAGCAAATATATAATGAAGTCTATTGAATTACCTCTCATAGTAAAGTTGATATTTCTAATAGTTGCAACAACTCTGCTAGTGCCTGTATAGAGCCCTTGTTGCATTGGCAACTATCACAACTATGAATATATTTTTTTATATTTTTAGCTATACTCTTCCAATAATAATACTTTCTCAATCTTTTATAAAACTTTTCAAACCCAAAATGTCTACTAATATTATATTGTTTTTTTAACAAGAATATTCATATTTTAGATTTTTTTGTAAGACATAATTATGGGTTTTCTTTATCTTCAAAAACAATTAATCTGTCTTCTTATAGCTTATAACAATTTAATTGTTTTTCTAGCTGTTTTGCTTCATTACAATTTGGGTTTTCATATGCCTTTAAAATTCTTTAAAAATATGCATCCTTTTTATATTCTTTTATCTTTTTATACAATTCTTTGTCTATACAGATTTTACTAATGCTATTTGCTTCAGGTTTTCTTGATAAGGCATCAGCTACTACATTTGTTTTTTTTGATTAATATTTTATCACAAAATTATATGCTCGAAGCATTTTAATCCAACTAGCTTGCCTATGTGACAGTTTTACTTATGATTGCAAGTATTTTAACAATTCATGATCAGTTGTCACTTGGAAAAATCTTCTTTTTAAATATATATGCCAAACCTTTAATGCATATATAACTGCTAGAAGTTCTTTTTTATGCACTAGATAGTTTAATTTAGCTGATATTGGTTTTTTAGATTTATAGGCCACTGGTTGGTCTTCTTTTCCTTGATTCTGGCACAAAACTGTACTAATTGCTATATCAGAAGTGTCTGTTGTAATCAAAAAAAGTTTGTCAGAATCAGGTATTAACAAAACTAAGGCAAAGGTTAACTTTTCCTTAAGGGCTTTAAAAGTTAGTTCTTGTTGTTTATTCTAAACAAATTTTTTGTCTTTCTTCAACAATTTAGTTAGTAAGACTGCTATAGTCAAAAAATTCATTATAAACTTGCAATAGTAATTTGCAAGATCCAAAAAAGAATAAAGGTCATGAATATTAGTTAACACTGGCCAGTCTTGAACAACAGAGGTTTTCTTTGGTCTATTTTTATTCTACTATTAGATATGATATGATCTAAAAATTCAACTTCTTTTTTTCTTAGATTACATTTTGTCAATTTTCTATATAGTTTATAGTATTATAGAGTTTCAAAAACCTGATGCACATGTTTGTAATGTTTTTCTTTATTTTACTGTATACCAATATATTATCTAAATAGACAATAATACTTTTGTTTAATTGATTTTTAAAAATATTGTTTATTAATCTCATAAATAAGACAGATGTATTTGTTAGCCTGAATGGCATAATAAGGAATTCGAAATGACTATATCTAGTCCTAAATGCAGTTTTGTAAATATCTTTGTTCTTTACTTATACTGATAGTATTCAACATGAAAATCAATTTTACTAAAATATTTGCACTATATAGCTAATCAATTAATTTATCTATATATGATAAGGAGTATCAGTTTTTGATTGTTGGTTTATTTAGGACTCTATAGTTGATGCATATTTTAAGGATTTCCTTTTTCTTTGCTACAAACAACACAGAAGCCTTGTATAGAGATATACTTGGCTTTATTATGCCTTTTTGTAAGTATTTTTCGATCTGTTTTTTTAACTTTTGCATTTTCAGAATTAATAGTCAGTATATGGGCTCATATAAGAGTTTGCTTTCTATTTGCAATAGAATTTTGTGATTTATGCTTTTGCATGATGGTAATTTATTTGGCAGGTCATCAAAAAACAAGTCCTTATATTGAAGTGCTAGGTCTTTTAAAAATTCTGGCATTTTGTTGGTTACAAGATTCCTATTTGTAGTATTAGACAAAAGTATTGTATATAGCTTTGCAAAACTTTTTGAATTCTTAGCAAACTGTTTTCATGTCAAAAAAATTGTCTGGCATGCTTTTGTATTATCTAATTCACTAGCTTTAATTACAAAAGTATATTACTCTCTCTTTATTTTTATTTTATTATTTTTCCAATTAATATGAGAGTTATAATCACAAAGCTACAGTTTACCAAGTATCATATCATATTTTTGTAAAGGTATAACTTCTATGAATTTTCTTTTTTCATTATACTCTTGGATTTTAATCGCAATATCTGTTAAGTTATCATGTAACTTATATAATAATTTATCAGCTAATTTTACTATTGTGGTACTGTCTTCTTTTTCTTTATTCATTTCTAATTGCAAATTTTCCACAAATTGTGGGTTAATAAAATCTTTGAACATACTGAAATTAATCAAAATAAGAGCTTTTTTTTTTTGAATCTCTGTTTTCACCTTTAAAAAACTTTTTATATTTAACTTATTATATTCTTTTTCTTTTATATTCCTTGCTTCAATGACATTTGGGTTAATATTTTTAATTTTGTTTATTTTATTATTTGTTCAGTCTTTATTTTGACATTCTCTTGTTACATGATCTTTTTTTCCACAACTAAACATAGTTCTTGTTTTTTATATTCATTCTTATTCAATGCTGTTATACTTCTTTTCTTTATATTTATAAGTTTAATGTTTATAGAGCTTTCCAACTCAACTCTATCCAATTCCATCAGGGTGAATGCTTAATCTTTATTATGTGATAAATAACTACTACTGAATTTATTATGTTTTCAGTTATTTTGCACTATCATTCTTGAGTCTTTTTCAAAATACTGCTTATTAACATTTTTTGTTATATTATACATTATAGAGTTATAACTGATAACTAACTTTACAGCATTATCAAGGGTTTCAAGTGCACAGTAATTTACTTCTGCTTTTGTTACATCTTTCAAGCCTTTTGTCAAATACATGACCTTGTTAGCCTCATGCATTCCATCTATTTGGCCAAGCAGGTTCCAAAATCTTAAAACATATTTCTAAATGATCATGGTTTATTTCAAGTCTTTTAATTGATAGCACAATACTTATTGGTAATGAGGAGGTTAAAATGTGGCTTTAATACCAGCAGCAAAAGATTCACAATCTGTGAATAGTTGGTGACCTTTGTTGGCTTGTACTTAATTTAAGTACCATTGCAATGCTACATCTTGAAGTTCTATGATTATGTATTGTAATTGTTTATTATCTTCAACTTTTCTTGTCTTGAAAAAAAGATTGACTTGAAGCAACCATGTAAGAATGTTCTCACTATTTTTGCTACTAAAGATTGGTAACTGGACAGTCAGGCCTTTTAATAGAATGCTATTTAGATCTCTAGCACTTGTTATTATTTTCATAAACAATGTTTGTTAGTAAATATTAATTTGTTATATTAAAGAAGCAAGATACTGATTTATTTGGTCTTGGTTGAATAGAAATTGTTAGAAAAGTTAAAAAAAATTGAACATTTCTGGCCTATTATGATCTTCTATTGTTAATATTACTAGGATATATTTTTTTTTTGTAAAATTTTATCTACTGCTACCAATTGTAACAACCTCATAAATGTTAAGGCAGATGATAGTGAAATTCTTTTTGCAAATAGACAGAAAAGTATTTATTTATTTGTGCTTTTTTCAGTATCAACTAAAAAATGATTCTTTCTAATTAACTTTTTTCCTTCTTTTTTATATTTTTAAATACTCTTTTCCTTTCTATTACTAATATCATGTCTTTATGAATATGATTCTAACCTTGCTGTTGCCATTATATGATTGTTTCTACAGTATGACTCATGTGCTTTGTGTTTAACAATCCTAATCTATTTATTACACAAGTCATGTGACCATGCATCATTGTAGAATCTATATCTAAATGTTTACAATATCCTAATTATTTTGTTTAGTTTGTAAGTTGTAATTATAGAATATTGAACATGTAAAAATTTAAATAGTAGATAAACTGTTAAAATGAATATGAATTTGGTAATTTAAAGATAAGATAAAAAAAAAAAGATAAGAGCTGCTAATTTTGCTCTTATAGCATTTGGTATATAAGTTATAAAGACATTAAATTTAATTTGTATATTATTTTCAAGTATTCAAATAATACTAGTAAAAATATTATATATTTATAAGTTTATTATTAAGTTATCAGTATAGAAATATAGGTTGTTTAAGTCAAAAAGTAATAATTTTTTGTATAGATCTATAAGTTAGTTTTGATATATAGAATTAAATATTGTATTTTGAATTAAGAGAGTTTGCAAAACAAGCTTATATAATTTGTATAAATGTTTTAAAGTGTTTAAATTTCTTAAATATTAATATTTAATTTAAGATAATGTTTTTTTTTTATGTTTTGTATTCAAAATTAATAGTTTGTTTGTAATTTATTTGAAAAGTTGTAAATATAGAAGAGATATGAATTGTATTGAATGTTGTTATAATAATTTGATGTTTTTAAAAAGATATTATAAAATTATATATATTTATTATTTTGCCAATATGCCAATTTTCAGATAAGATATAAAGTGTCTCTATATTTTTATAATTATTATATTGAGGTATAGTTAGATTGAGTATATTTAGAAATAGATTAATTGGTTGAAGTTGAAAATTGGACTATATATGTAAAATAAAAGAAAAAAGTATTTTATTTGAAAGTATTTTGAATTATTTTAAATAGAATTTTAAGAGTATTTGAGAGTTCTAAGATAAATGTTTTTTCAAAGAAATAGGTTATAATTATTAGCTATAAATACTTGTTCAAGAAAAAAAATTTTATTGTTTTTAAGACTTAATATTATTGAATTATCTAAAAATAAAATGAAGTTATAAATATTGTTTAGTTAATTAATTTATTTGTAGATTGTTAATTAGTAAAGTAATAGATAATTAAAAAAAATATTATTTTTGTATAAATATGATAATTGAGATATTATAGTAAAATTAAAGGTTTTCTTATAATTTTTTAGTATTGTATTTTAAGTTAAAGATGGTTTTTATATTTTGGAAAGTTATTCTTTAATTCAGTATATAGAAATTTAATTTAAAAATATATTAGTATTAAAGCATCTTTTTATATTATTGCTGCTAACTTGTAATATAAGTTTGTTAAGTATTAAAATATTAAATAATTAAAGATTAGTAAGTATATATTATTTGTGTTTGTAGATAGATAAAATATATATTTAGTATATTTTGTTGATATGCTTAATAGTTGTTGAAGTTTGTTTTAAAAAGAAGAACAGATTTAAAATAAATATTCTAAAAATAATAACAAAATAGTATTAAACAATTATAATATTTGAATAAGAAAGAGTTTTTTATATTAATAATTTGAATAAATTAGAAGGTTTTACTAAAAATTTTGTTGAGTATAGGTTTAGTTAAACCTTTTTCATCTAAAAAAATTCCTAGATATTTGATTATTTTATTAGATTTGTGTGATATAATTAGTTAATTATTAAAATTAAGAGATAAAGTATTTGAAAAAGTATTGTGAAGTGCTGTTTTGTTAAATAAAATATAAATAAAATCAGCTTTAAATATGTTAACTTAAATATTGTTTAGTTGGTAGAGGTCTGATATTATCTAAAATATTTTGGAGATCATTTCTGAATTCATAATACCAAACTGTATTATTTATAAAAGCAAGATATAGTATTATTAAAAAAGTTGGTAATATTAAAAAGATTGTTTTTAAAGAAAATTAAAATGAGATTTTAAGGAGGTTTGAACTATATTTAGAGTTTATGTAGCTAAGAATTAGGGCATAGTAAATTTTTTAAAGTAGTAAAAAATAGGTTTTTCTTTGTTTAATGTCTAAATAAAATGTAATTAGATCTGTAAAACTATAGGCTATAATTGTTCTGGCTTTTCTATCTTCATAAAGGAATTTAATAAAATTTAAATCAGATTAGAAGATGCCTATGCATGCATCTAGTAATTATTTGATATTTATTTTGTTAAAGGCTTTAAACATATTTTGAAAAAGTATTTATATCTTTTTGTTATTAATTTTGTAATATTCAATTGTATTAAGTAAGGAATATAAGTTGAACTATTTTTGGTTGCTACAAAGTTTAAATTGCTTAATAGATTATATTAAGTAATAATTTGGTTAAAACAAATTGTAAAAATTTTAGTAAAGTATTTTTTAATAGATTTAATTAGTAAAATATGTCTAACTTGATCAAGTGTAAAGTCTTAGAAGAATTTTTTAGAGATTAGAAAAATGTTAGATATTTTTCATATTAAGAGTGTTTGTTATAATATAAGACATTTGATTAGAAAATACAAATAATATTTTGAGCTATAAGATTTAAATATTTTAAGTATTTATAGTTTGTTTCTAATAGACCAGCAGTTTTTTGGTTTGAGAAATTATGTATAACATTGTTTTATTTTTAAAAAAAAATTCTGGAAATAAGTTGACAAAGTATAATTCATTTTCTGAATAAGGTTTGTAAAGTTTATAAAATTTAGAGTTTTCTTTAATTGGTATATAAAGTAGTTCTTTAAAATAGTTTTAAAGTAAAATTGTAAAGTTTGTTTAATTTCAATTAGTTGAGTAATAGGATATTATTAAATAAGAGATAATCTAAATTTATGTTATTGTTGTTTTTTCTAGAATTTTACAAAAGAAAATTTTGTAATTTTAGCAAAAGTTATTATTTCTTTCTTTTAATTTGGTTTGAATTTCTTTAAAAATATTTTCTTGTTTTTCTTTAGAAATTTGAGTTTTAAAAGTTTTGATTTTAGTAGTATAAAAGTTTAAAGAATTAGTAAAATTAGAATTAGCATTAATATAGCTACCTATTATATTATTGTGGACATTTTTTAAAAATTTATAACAAGCCAATTAAAAAAGATATTAAACTAAAAATTATACAATAAACTTATTAAATCTTAAGTTTTTAAATAAAAAAAAGATTAT